CTATAGCGGTAGCTGGATAAACAGAAGATTTAACTGCTTTTATTGATTCAACGTGACTAAAATGTCGTAAAATGTCAACGTTAAATGTGGTATTTTAACATGCTTTCTGATGGAGCAGCATTTACTACACAGAGCCGTAGTTCACTGAGAAGCTATGCAAACAGCTGTCATTATCGCAAACGATTTCTTCGATTTCATAATCGCGCAATAAAATCGTCTGCAAAACTTTTTTTGCGTAACTTGTCAGTGAACCACGGCTCTATGTAGTAAATGCTGCTCTATGTAGTAAATGCTGCTCCATCTGAAAGCACGTGATGATGATTTACTGCTGATTACAGAACCGGCTTTACTAACAAAATGCGCATGACAATCGATTTCGATTAATCGTGCAGCCCTAGTGCAGGCAGTTTTAGTGTTTTATATAGGCTACATGCAGAACCGTTAACGTCAGAGCTTATCGATACTCCAGTCTTTCATAATTTAGCCCCAGGACCGATTAAATACCAGGTTTCGGTACCCATCCCTAGTCATTTCACTGCAAGTTTAACTAATAATTTAATTCCAAAGGTATTAAACTGAAACAAATATATGAGGGAATGCCTCTACACAATTGAAGAGGGAGCCACAACCACTACCACTCAATATCTGAAACTATAGCAAATGAGATGGTCAAGTTGGCCACAAAATACCTCGTATCCTATAATCACAATCAGCTTTGTGTGATACAAATAATGTTTAGTGAGGTTTTGTTCATTCATCAACTGAAGACAGCATAGACTAAAAGATTGATCTTAACCTTTAAGAATCAATATTGGTTCAACAAAATACAGACTAAAACTAAATAAAAAAAACATAATTTAGGCCTGGGGCCCATTTAATACCGGGTTTCGGTACCCATCCCTAATTATAAATGTCTTTACTGTCACTAGGGATGTAACAGTATGGAAATTTCTTATCACGATTATAGTGACCAAAATTATCATGGATATCAGTATTATCACGGTATTGTTAAAATGTGCTGGAGATGTTCAAAAAGTACCGACACATAAATTACTTCAAGTTTTATATTTACAAATCAACAAACACAATCACTAAAACTATAACATTACCAATGATGTTCGGATTTTAAATTACAACTTGACTGACAACAGTTTAATAGCATGTTGAAATATATAATGTAAATGTTCAAATAAAGCTTTGAAAAAGTTTAATAAAAAGGTAAACCTCACATTTCAGCCTTTAAATAAAGAAAAGATATAAGTCAAAATGATAATTGATTATTGAATGATTATATGTATTTTATCTACTCCAGAATTGTTTAAATGTATAGAATCCACATAAGCTTGTTTTTCATCAACTGGTCAAAATTTACAGCAGGGCATAAAAATTCGGTCCGGTTTTGGCCAGACAGAAACTGCACACAGACTGAATGTAAATATAGGTCTCTGTAAATCCACTCGCTGACACTAGGTGGCGCTTATGGAAAAGCTGAATTAGAGCTGTTTCCCGTAAACTCCGTGGACAAAGCACAAGATGAAAACAAAATGCCTTCAAATCGTTTCTGAAGACAGTCAGAACCTTCAGAAGTACATTCATATAATTAATTAATTAATCTATTCATTTGTATAATTCCCTTGGCACTCTTTTAAAACCTCCCAGCTTTTCCGCCCTGTTTTCACTCAAAACGAAACTACTCTGCTGCTGTGCGCACGTGAGACTGTTACTTAAAACTATGCTTTATGCTGGACAGTATTTATTTATCGCGAGTTGTTCAAATCGTGGTAATCTAATACGGTTTTAATCGGTATAATTTTGGAAAATACCGTGATATACATTTTTGGTCATACCGCCCAGCACTAATTAATTCATTCATATATTCATTTGAATAATTTTCTTAGCACTCTTTTAAAACCTCTCAGATTTTCCACCCTGTTTTCACTCAAAACAAAACTACTCTGCGTGCTGTGCGCACATGAGACTGTTACTTAAAACTGTGCTTTATGCTGGACAGTATTTATTTATCGCGAGTTGTTCAAATCGCGGTAATCTAATACGGTTTTAATGATAATTAAAAGATGAAACGGTAATACTAACCGTG